TTTTCTATGAAGATTGGACAACAAGTTTGTCCAATAAAGATCACAACTTTTGCTATGAAGTTTTAATAGCGTTATGGTTTGAAATCTATAAACAAGATTTTTCTTCAGAGCACGATCCACATGGAATCGATACAGCTCCGGGGGCACAAGCGCGAGTAACCCGCTTGACAGTTACCTTAAGATTTCTGGGGTTGTTTGTTGCTGTGGACTTCGATTTGCGCACACGCCGGGCTCCTGAAATTAGGTTGAATGTGCTCTAGTTTGGTTTGCGAACTGTTAATTAACCGTTTTTGGGGACCCTTAGCTTCCAAGGGACTCAAGCAAACCTGCCCTCGAGCAAACTCACTACAGTTCCAAGGGTTGTGCGGCAAAGTTGCTCGTGCTTCCTGGAGTTAGTAGAGTTAACTCTTTCATCGAGGTTTATGAATCGTTCTTTTGTGTGGCAAGAGTGGGCTTTCGTTCGGGAGAGACGAGGAGAGTGAGAGCGAGTGAAAGAGAGACCAAGATAAGAGCCCAGCAATAGGCAATGCAGCGTGCAGAGCCATTCTAACGAGACAGTTTCGAGCGACAGTTGGTCGTATACCACGGTTTTTGGGTTCGAGGTTAATAGTTTTCCGGTTTTTTAAAAGCACACGTCCAATATCTTTAGGACTCTGGAACCTACACTTTTCCCAAAACCAGACTGGGGAAAACAACGGTAGCAGAAATCGAAGACCTCAAGAGACCCAAGCGAAGCTCCCTTGCTTAAGCTAAGCCTCCCCCGGGCCCGAGGGCGAACGGCCAGCGCGAACCGTGGGTCCGAAGGGCAGGGGGATGGCAGGCAACTATTCGGGTTTAGCATAACAGATCTAGGTTTTGACTAGCGTAGGAAAATGTCAAAGGTTGGAGTAAGCATACCGTCCCTGGCATAGGAAATGCTGTCCAAAACCGCTCCTTATAGAGAAGACTTAAGGCACAGTTTTTGGGGAAGTGGAACACATTTCTAAATAGTACGACGACTGCTCATGTGTTCGCAGCAGTTGAACAGGACCCGAAGGCTTGCAAAGCACAGACGATGCCGAGTCTGATGACTACGACACACTTTTTGCCCAGCTCGAGCAGGATCGCGTGGCTATGCAGGATGGAGAGCCCGCAGGCCCAGAGTATTTTCGAACCTCTTTGCTTGGTGGAAAATGGCAATTTCAAAGAACCGGTCGGGCCGTGTACGGCCTGCGAGTGGATGTCCGAGCAAACACGGCAGCGGCAGAGCTCTGCACAGTGTTTGCGCTGCCCAAAAGTGCATCTTTCGAACAGCAGCTCTACGGAGAGTTTCAAGCAAGCAAGCTCGCCAAGCTGTGGGAAGATCGAATGCGATTTCTTGTTTCTGTGTGGCTGGATGCGGGCCAGCCTAGACGGGTGTTTCCGAAGGAACGCTTGTCGGCATACAGAGTGCCTGCAGACATCGAGGCGTGCTTATCCAGCTTTGAGGGCAAGGCCAAACGCCGTGCTACTGCCATTCAGACCTTGACGCCAGGACAGGGGACAGGCTGAAAAAAACCAGAGCTGAGCCGCAGTTGCTACATGGCAGCACTGTTTCTTGCCGTGTGCGCGCAGCGCATAAGTTGAAGTGCGAAGCGAAGCGAATGTAGTAGCCAGAGGCGGGGCGTGTGAACATGCGGGCGCGAAGTTTGGAGCGTGAAGTTTCGTGTGTGAAGTTTCGCGCGCGACGTTTTTTGCGGTGAAGTTTGCGGCGCGAAGTTGTGATGCTAAGACAGGTGCGCGCGAAAGATCGCGCGAAGTTTGAGGCGAAAGACGCGCGAAAATTCGTAAAGAGCGATTCCTGGCTTATGAAATTCCACCAAGATTTCAACACGAATTTCGTGTGGATCGTCAAAAGCAAAGAACAAATCTAAGCTACATATGCTCTTGTGGGCGAGACTGCACGTGGATCACAGATTGCACGTCTGCACCGGTGCTGGGGCTGAAAAAGGGGCATGCCACGGGGTGTGATATGCTGGTGGCGGCACGAGAGGGTTGCATGCCAGGGAGGTTTTTGCTTGCAGTACTGTTGGTATGAGAATTTTTCCGGGGCAGAGTGTCTGCCGAAAGGGTGTGTAGATTTGTGTTGTTTTGCGGATTTAAGCAATATCCAATCCCAAAAGGGGCTGTACAAATGTTTTTTGGTTCCCTTTCTCATCTCATCGTCGCGTTGACGCGCTGCAGAGCACCAGCGGCGAGCAGTTTCGTATCCTTGACTGTTTGGCTGGCATGACCTTCTGCAGGCAAAGCTTGTGAGACGAACTGTCTTGTGAGGCGATCAGGATTCAAGGTTCGAGCCTTCGTAGTGCAAGCATAGTCAGTCTTTGACGCACTCTTCGGGTATTACAGGCTCAGGTGTCCCAGCTGGTAGCTTGTCCCTTTTTCCGCGTCGGAGGCGGGCCATGTGCAGCACGCCTCAGAAGTCGGGGAAATCTTTGCTGGAGGCAGCATGGGAGCAGACTTCCGGCAAGAAAGTCGGGCGGCCGAAGAAGATCAACGACATTGATGCTCAAGTCCGACGATCCCTGCTAGACAACTTCAAGTCCTTCAGTGCAAAAGAAACCGATGCCACATTGGTCGAAGGGCTCACCCTACGACAGAGACTTCGCAGAGACAAAGAGGCCAGACACCACAAGGGCTGTGAGGTAGCCTTCGGCCGTCGGTACTACGACTCTCTTCGGGAGCTGTACTCAGACCAGGGTCGCGTTGAGAAGCTCTTGAAGCCAGACCCGAAGCTCAAGGTGAGTGACACGTTGCTTGAGGCAGCCACAGCTGCGCTGAAGCACCCTCCGAATCGCAGCCTGATGATCTCCTTGCTGGAGAGCACACCCTCCTTGAACCAAGCCGAAGTGTGTGGAGTTTACAGGTGGTTCGTCAAACTGCACCCCAGCGCCAGCAAGGAGCAGCTCGAGGCGGGCAAAGCCGTAGTGCGAGCAACCGCGCGGTTGCAGCTCCAGTGCAAGTTTCCCGCAGAGTTCGCCCTGGTTCGTGAGCAAGTTGACCAAGTTCTTCTCCAGGCCGGGACTGCAAGGCAACACTTGGAAACCTGTAGTGCTTTAAGGTCGAGCCTCGTAGTCTGCCAGCACTGCAGGAGTTTGAGATAGTAGCTTAAACTTCGGCGGCCGATACTAAAATTGTTGGAGAAGTGCTTGTAGCAGAAGCATGTCTGCCTTTGCTTTAGGCCTGTGTGTGCTGCGTTATTTGGGTGTAACGCTTGCTGTGTCTTTGTATGTTGTTCAGCTGTGTTTTCTAGTTACTGCAAAGAGTGAGTCCCGCGCCGCACCTTTGGCTTAACTAGTTGCTCGCTTGCTGAACACATGCATCGCACTGACACAGCTCTTGCATCGCTTGCAAAACTTTTCACCCACCCTCCCACGCCCGGGGGGAAGTTGCTTCGCATAGCTCTTCTTTCGCTCTGACTCGCACAGCACTACGTTCAGCACTGCTTTGCGCTGTAACGAGAGAACCGTGCGAGTTCAATCTTTCAGCAACAGCCACGCTGCGGGATTGGGACAGGCGAGTGGGAGGTCGAAAGTACAAGTCTCAAACCCCCATTCTCGGCTCGAAAATGGGGGTTTGTGTGAGCCCCTTGCGGGGCCAACACCAGATGCCAGGATTGCTTCTGGCGGGCGTGAGTTGGGGGGTTGGGGAGGCCCCTTTGGAACTGCAAGCAGGATTTCTTCATTGGGCAGTAAATAGTTCGTGGAGGCTGCGAAGTTTCATTTTGTTCTCAGGGTTTTCTAGTCGCGCAGAGGGTTTCTGCGTCGCAAGGCTTGCACGTTTTATGCCGGTTGGCGTGTTTTCGTCGGGCGCTAGTTGCCGCTAAGTAGCACGGTCTTCAGGTATAGGGAGCCTGTCTGTCGTCCGGCGTGCCTGTCGAATCACTGCGTGTCGCGAGGCGTTCCTGGCCGTCAGCAAGAGTGGCTTGGGGCCGACCGCTTGGCTCAGCACCAATGCAGCGCTTTGGCCCCTAGTTCTGCCGAAAGCCGCCACTGAGAAGATCCTCACTAGCAAAGCGGAGGATTCGTGGAAGTCCGTGGCGTCGGAGATCCAGGCCGTGTCGAAATCCTCGTTGCTTGGACAGAAGCTCTTCGGCTTCGCCGTGAAGAGCATCCTCGGCGAGGAGGTTGAGGCGATCATCAAGAAGCACGTGGACAAGTTTGTGTCTTCGGGGAAGATGGACGAGACCGGTTTGGCAAACGCTAAAGACGGCACACTGAAGGAGTTGCGTGCCCTGTCTAGCGCAGACATGCTGGATGGCAAGCGACAAGTGAGCATCGACTACCGGGGCTGGTCCCTGACAGTGCAGGCCAGCAGCATGGACGAGCAGATGGACATGTCATTCGCAGCAGCCATCCGGGGCCACGCATCTGCAGCTGGGGATTTGGCCTTGCTGCCAGCAGAGTCCTGGCTGTGCCAGGGGCCGGCTGATGCAAAGCCAGGGGCTGTGCACAGCAGTCTCATTAGGGAGGCTGGGGATGCTCGCAGCCTTGCCAAGACGTTGCTGGAAGCTGACGGCTGCAGCAGCGGAGAAGGCATGAAGGACGGGGGTGCCCTGCAGTCCCTAATAAACAAAATTCAAGAATGCCATTGCAAAAACTGACTGTTCTTTGTATCCGAAAGCCACAAGCCCTAGTAAAACAAAGCATGAAAACGAAACCCTTCCTCCCTCCGACGCTTAGAGCGAAGCTCCTACCGAATAACTTGGGCACCCCCTGGGCCCGAGGGCGAACGGCCGGCATGCACCGTGGGACCGAAGGGCAGGGGGGAGCCTTGTAAGCAGTAACTCTAAGACCAAATTTGGCTAGATTGTAAATTTCAAGTTTTGCGAAGCATGCAAACTTAAAATTTTCTCCTCAAGCCCCAAATTTTCTTCCCTGGACGACCCCAAGAGAGAAATATCAACTAAAAGAAAGCACCATTGTTTGGTAATCTGTTTCGAAACCCTGACTACAGCTTCAAGTAGTGATTATGGAGCGGGGTGCAGAGGTGAGGGATGAAGTAGGGATTACGAGGCAGGGTTTGTGGTTTAGGACTGTGACAGTGAATATTCTCCGAATGAGCAGCAGCAACATCCCTGTACACCCGTGTTACGCAGAGAGCCCAGAACCAGTAGATTCAGAAATATAGCTTATATTCTAGAGGGTCTAATGCAAGGATCTAATGTATGCATGTCCATTAAGGTCTACTGGGCTCTCTGCGTAGCTCGGCAACTGTAGGGTAGTACCCTAAACCCTATGAGCCCTTACCCAGACCTGAAACCCTAAACCCTAAACTTTGACAATCTGCAACCCCTCGAGGCCCGAAAACCCGCGAGAAGCCGTTGCTGCCACACAGCACAAAACGCTTTCAAGAAGTGTAGAGTGTAGGTTTAGGGTTTAGGGTTTAGGGTTTACCGTTTAGGGTTTAGGGTTTAGGGTTGAACCATACACAGAAGATTAAGGGACTTACTCACGGCTCATAAAACGGGGTTCCTAATGGAGCTCGTTACAGGGTTTCTAACGTTTTGGGCTTAGGGTTTGGTGTTTGACACGTAGCAGCCTTTGCCCAAGAATAGCGCACACTACTCGAGAAGATGCTTCCTGGTATACTTGTGTGGACGCAGACAAAGCGCGACGAGGGCCAGAACGAGCTTTAGAGGGTCCGACTAGCCTGCTCACACTGTACGTCGATAGTTTTTGCGAAGTTGAAACAATCGCACTGAAGCCAGAACCTCTTCACAACAAAACGTTTCAATCGAAAGCCGCCAGGAGATGCTGTTGGCGCACAAAGACAAGCTCATGGCGACAGACCGCCATGCTTTCATTGACATCTCCTTCCTCGGCCATGTTGCCGGCAGTGGAGGACAGCAGGCATTGGAGCAGGCCTACCTGCAAAAATGCCTCCCGAGTGAGAAGAACTTGTTCTCGGTGCAGCGCGCGATCAAGGAAAGCGAGAGCATGATGGCCGGCGACTTGTTCAAGTTCGTTGCCACCGATGCACAAGGAGCCGTCTCGGCAGCCCATGCAATGCTCTGCCAGGTCCAGCAGGGCCTCCCAGCAACGACAGGTCTGCAGCACACTAAGTTCTTGCGAGAGGCATGGTCAAAGTTGCAGTTCTTCATCATCTTTTGCCAGGGTCAGCCGGTGAAGTACGGTGAAGATGGGCATTTCATCATTCCTTCAGGGGACATCAAAGTCACACTCGGCAGCGAAGCACTCCTCGCTATGTGGGACATCGTTCAGAAGAAGGACGAGGCGACCTTGTCCTTGGAAGACCTTGAGATCTTCGTGTGTTTCGGCCAGCTCTTGAGTGAATGCCAGCGCACCTCTGCGCACAACAAAGTCCAAGAAGTTTTGCGTCGAAACCAGGCTGTTGGGGCTGACAGTTCCAAAGCGTCGAAGGCGCCTGAGCAGCCCAAAAAGAGACGAAAGGTTTCTTCTGCTGCCGAAAGCGCCTCCTCAGCAGCCAAATCCTTGTTTCAGTGAGCTTTAGACTCGTCTTGAGTCAACTGGGCAGTGGCCAGAGTCCAGGTCGCTCTTACTCCGAGTTCAAGCAACAGAAAGTAAACAGTAAGGCTGTCAAGCGTACTTTGTTCTTCGAGTAGCTGGAAAACTCTGGCCGGGGTTGGGGTTCCGTTAGTCTCGACAGTTGCTGGAGCTGTCGACTTCGCGTCAAAACGTGCCGCAGCGCGTGTGCCGCAGATGTAGTCTTCACAGATGCGATCTCAAACGTAGCACCCTAAACCCCTAAGCTTGCCTACCAAACCCTCGCCTCGCAGCTTTTAGTCTGCACGCCGAGGGCTGCGTACCCCCAGCGTGTGAGGATAAAGGTTTGTCAGTAGCAGAAAGCCGGAAGTTCCAAGGTTCACAGGCCCATTTCGCAGCGTAGCTTCGCAGCAGACTGTAAATCCAAAGCACGGTTTTCGATACCTTCTTGTTGCATGCGATGTGCTTTCTCGAACACGGATCCGAAAGACAGTTTTTTTTCGGGCAATAACTCTGGTAACCCACAGACCCAAAGCTTGTTTTCAATTGCCTCTTCACTCCCATCGTTTTTCTGCGAATTGCGCAGTTTACAAACCTTAAACTTTGCCCTAAACCAAAATTCTAAGCCTTAAATCCCGAAGCTGCAAACCCTGAGCGCTGAGTCCTAACAGCCCAAAACTCGAAATCCGGCAACCTGATTAAATCCCAACTCCCACCCCCATGAATCCAGAGATGAGGTATTTCCCAAATTAGGATTCCGACATTAGATCCCAAGCTCTAGAAATCCAGGCCCATCACACGCCCCACAGTCTATTCCCTGAAAGCCCGAAAGCCTCTCAAAGCCTTCAACCAGGCCCAGAAGGACTACGCCTGTACCGAGCTGCAGGCTGCTAACCAAGT